AGCTGCTTGTATTGTGGTTGTAAAAGGTAATTTACCATTTGTATTATTATTTCTATTCATTAGCTCTTCCACCTGGTCTTTAAATTTTTCGTTATTTATTGTATAATTAATCCTTGGTTCTACTGCCAGGATCTTCTTCTTCTGATACTTCAAGCTATAGTCAAATAACCTAACTTCTGCCTTCATTTGGCGTAATCCCTGTTCTCCGAGTATCATGTCAAAGTCGTTTAGTTCCCTTATTTCATAGAACGTTAAATGATGCCCGTACATCGTTATAACTTTTTTAGAATTTACAATTGAATAACCATGTAAGGTTTTGGTTTTAAATGGTTTTAATTTAATAGATTTTCCTATATTACAATTTATATTAATGTAATTATTAGTGGAGCCTTTGTCAATTAATAAGGTAACGGGTGTGCCGGTTAGGCCGCATTTTGTTTCTAAGCAAGGCAACCCGTTTATTCGCCTAAAAAAGTACTGCCTGTTTCAAATTGTTCTTCATAATTAGGTACATCCACTGACTCTAGATCTTCTCTATTTAATTGGTTAATTCTTTGGAACTTCCTATCTGGCGGAGAAGTGGCGTTATTGTAGCTAGATGCCCTATCTCTTTTATATACATGGTTTGATTTAAAAGGATTTTGACTTACGGCATTATTGTACTTGGTTGTCTGCATGAATTGTCTGGATTGGTCTATGTCCATTGGAGTAGGTGTGGGTTGTTGTTGTCGCTGTGGTGGTTGTTGTTGGTTAAAACTCCTTGCCTGGTAGTTGTGATTCTGCATCCTTACGTTTGGCTTGTAATATCTTTCCTCTTTATGTTGTGAGTAGGTGTTTCGGTTTGTGCTGTGTTGATGCTGTCTGCTGTTACTTCCTAGTCTGGGCCGTGTCTCGAATTCCGCATTCTCATTGTCATGGAGAATGGTACAGGCTATCGCATATGCCGATTCCAAATTCTCTGGGTTATGGCTGTACAATGTGCCGCTTGTATATTTGGAGTTTAACCCAAGAATAAACGTCCTCACTGCCTCTTGGTTAGCGTATGCTATCATCCCTTTGTCATTATTGGACATCTCAATTTTTGATAGGGCTAAATTGAGTGCCTTTGAAACCTCACTGTGGAATTCTGCAAGGGATTTTCTATCTTGTGTGATTCGCTTCATTTCATCAAGAAGCACATATAGTGGGCGTTGGTCTGCATATGTGTAATCCAATCTGTTAATGATTGAATAAAAATTCAATTTGGTGTTGTGGTTCGTAAGGACGTTAGCAGCGGGTCCTGTAATTTTTGTCCGCATTATTCCCAGGGCACTATAATATTTAGGGTGATTTTGGAAGATCTTTATAGCTTCCATGAATGCCCACACTTGTGATCTCCATGATCGGTATTGTACTTTGTCCCCGTCAAATTTTGGTAGGGATTTGAATAGCTCCAGGTCGATATCCTTGGCGTCAGTAATATTTAGTTTTACTTCTTCGTATAAAACTAATTCTTCCGGAGCGTTTTGTTGCTCTAGTGCGGCAATTCTCTCCGTGAATTCCGTTGTTTGTCGCTGCATCTCGTTCATCAGTGTGGTGAACTGGGCATTTAGTTGGGCCAGTTGTTGCTCCATTGTAAATTTATTTAGATTTCTGTAGTCGTCGTAGGATTTTTGCTTTTTTCCTCTCCGGAGTCTCCGTAAGGTATCCAGGTTTTTCACTTCACTTTTTTGTTTAAAATTTTCAGAGTTTTTTTATTATTTGCACACTTGATTGTGTTTTTTTCACTTGATTTCCGTTGATTTCGGTTTATGTTATCAGTATTATTCCGTTTTTTCAGGATCTATACTTGATTTTCGTTGATTCTTTTAGCACTTTTTCCAACGTGTAGTGCCGGAAGTCTTTCTTCCCGTGGATTTAGTTTTCTCTATTCCTTTTACATAGAAAAATGGCTTAAGGTTCGGTTGAGCCCCCAGTTATGAGTCCTTGTTAGGAATTAAAAGTACACAAGAGTTTATTTCAGTCTCGTTTTATTTCCAGAACTGTTTTCCATTTTTACACTTACATCTATTTATACTATTTCTAACTATTGTTTGTTTGGTGATAAAAAGATGTTTACATGTTTAGCATTATGTTATCATAATGCTTTGTTACTTATCACCGAATATAATTGTTTATGTTATTAAAAAGATGTTTACGGGTTTATACTTGTCTATCGTATTCTCTTTGTTATTATGTTATCATACAAGGTTAAAGGGCATATAGTTGTTTGTATGTATTTTGGTTCGTGAATAATGATTATATGTATATGTGTATGTATCTAGTGTTTAGGTTAGCGTCGTTAACTCGCTCTCGTGATGCGACTGAATCAACCTTACACGATAGTGATGTTATCGCTCAAACTCCCTACGATTTTGTAGTCCATGTCCCAGCAACTGAATACGACGACCTCTTAGAAATTAGAGCTCATACTAGTAAAAAAAATAAAACTAAAAAGGAAGTTTTTCGTCTAAAGGGAGGTAAGTATGAAGTAGCCAAAATCAAGTTTTATTATTATTATTTATTTATTTATTATTTAATAATCGAGAAATTTTAAAAATTTAGTGTTAACGTTAAAATCCAAAATGGACCATAAATTCGAGTTTATGGCTCAACGTGAACATACTATTACGCTGATTTTAACCATATACAAATTATTTGTCGCAAAAAAGTGGAAAAGATTTAAGAGGTTAAAGTAAAATGTTTCGACATTTTTTAATATTAATATCTTATGATCTACATAACGAATTAAAAAAGTAATGATGTGAAAATAATGATAAATCATTTTATTAATTTTCGTGTCCGGTGTTTTATTTTATAAAACAATATTTTAATATAAACACCCCTATAGCGAGTGTCGACTAATAGTAGATAAACGACTTTTATTCAATTATCGCTTTTCGGTATTGTGAATGTGGATTTCCCGTTCAATAAGTGACTGTGAACAGTTTTAAGCCGTTCATCTTTCTACAACTGTTTCTTTGTAGAAGGGTAAGCGACTAAAAACAATTTACACTCACTTGAACCAGCAAATGACATTGAAAATACATTGGATAATCAATAATCGAATAACAGTCGATACTTGCAATAGGGGTGAAAGTGATAAAAATTGTTGAATATAATTGTTATAAAGGCCATAAAAATAACAAAAAACACATTATAAGTAAAAGTGAATTTTTACCTTGATAAATTTTCATTATTTATCAACGTATCAATATTTATAAAAAAGCGCCGCAAGCGAAAATTTTTAATAAAAAATCGCCATTATTTATCGTTGTTTAAAAAAAAGCACCGCAAGCGAAAATTTTTAATAAAACAAAAATTCTCTTTATATTAAAATACTCTTTTAAAGTCCTGAGAATTTTTATTACAAATTTTCACTTTCTATTAAGATATTGTTGTATATAAAAATCACGCGAGAATCACTATGGGTCTTCACATCGAAGCTTGGTACTCGGGTAATTCGATGTGCGGTAATTTTTTCCCACCGAACACCGAGCTACCGAGTACCGAGATCCGTGTGAAAACGAGTTTTATATTGCTAAAAAATAAAATAACGTAAATTTAATGTATAAAAAACACCCGCCAACATCGCAAGGATCGTATATTTATAAAAATATATGTGATAAGTGCTCTTTTTGTTCAAAGCTCTGCTAGTGCAACTGCAAGTAACTTAAGAACAAATTAGGGTAGTAGTGGACTTTAGCGGAACATGCCCAAATCTCATCCAAAAAGGATCATAAGGAACTTTAATCAGAAAGCGGAAATAAAGATATTTGTAAAAAGCCCAAAGGCTGCGCAGAAAGTTCTGCGCAAAATACTTCCACCCCTCGTCGACAACACGAGAGAATTCTACGTAGTGTGGGTGTTGGATGCATATATCGTACGGCATCAGCTTCCCGCAAATTCCTGCACATCGTAAAACCTGAAACAGGCTTACTACTGGCGTTAAAGCGTGTTGGTTCATACCCCTCTTGACTTTTTTGGACGAATTTTGGTTAAGTTTCGCTAAAGTGCACTTTTACCCAAATGAGTTAAATACAGTACTAACAAAGTGAAATGAGTGATAAATCTTGGTCATAAGCAATAACCGCCTAAGCCGAAAAATCTGAAATCGAGAAAAAACGTTGTAAACATCTGCACCTTGAATTGAATTTCTATATTTTCGGTATTTCTAATATTTTGGAGAGTAAGATAATATTTACTCCCAATGAGCGAAACATTAGTAATAAAACTCAAAAAGAGCAGGAATTTGCAAGTTTTATGCACCGTGTATACATATAAAAAGAATCGGAGTTTGATTTTCAGAAATAAAAACTGCTTTCGAAAGCAACTTTTTAGAGGTATAACTGCTCCTGTAATCTCTTTTGGAAACTCTCTAGTTAGATATACTTTCATTAATTCTATTGCTAGAAAAAGTACTTTGCTGTTGTTGTAAATTTACTTGAAGAATTAAATATAAGAGCATTTTTTTTGTTAGTTGCATATCTACTGATTTTAGAAATCTTGATAGAAGAAAATTTCTTTTCCATTTGTGGGTTATTTTTTTATGAATTTTTCGTTTTTGTTGAGAGATGCAGAGAGCTGTTGAGAGCTTTACAGTTTTATAGTCCATTAAAATTTATTGTAGTAATGTGCCACTTTCAAGTTGCTAAAAATGACCGTCGATGTTTTAGAATTTTTTTTTGTCGCATTCATAACTATAACACACACTATTCCACCTGCATAATCATATCAGTGATTGCTTTGTTATTCACATACATTGAAATCGCTTAGACATCGTCGTTATATATTAATATAAAACTGAAATAAATCTGGTGTGAATATACTTGTGAAAATGATCAGCAATTGTGTGACAACAAGAACAAAGTCTTCCCGCCAAGCAGTTTCGTCTCCGCTGCAAAGTGCAAATATGCAGAGCAAATCAGTGATGAGTGGCAGTCCAACAATACCTGGACTAGCTCTCGCGATTAGAGACAAACATGGAAGCTCAAAAGCATAGCATCGTAAGTGAACTGAAGGCTCGTATGACACAGAGAATCAGTGAGTTTGAAGCGGAACTAAATAACATAAAAATATCAGTGAAACACGTTGAGGACAGAGTACAGAGAGCCGAAGAGAAATGTGCAAAAGTGCAGCAATTACGCCATCAAGTTGAACAGCTAAGCGAGCAGATAAATGATTGCCAAAATGCACTAGTGTCGACAGATCTGGTTATCAGAGGCATTCCTGTGACAGCTGATGAAAATCAAGCCGACACGTTTAACCAACATTGCCGCACAATTCAGCATAATGCTCTACCCATTAGGTCTATTTTCCGTGTGCACAATAAAAACAACACTGCGCCTGTCATAGTGAAATTAGGCTCAGCAAACGATCGCTCTTTGCTTTTCGCTGCTGTTTCGCGTCGCTGCAAATCAAAGAGAAGGCCCCTTTCTCTTCGCGATATTGGGCATAGTGCAGATGAGAAAATTTACCTGCATGAATGTCTTACCAAGCATAATCGCGAAGTCATGCAGTTTGGCATTGAGCTTAAAAAGCAAAAACGGCTTTCATCTGTTTTCTCTATTCGTGGCCACGTATATGTTCGAGTTCGAGCGCAGAGCAATGCAGTGAGGGTCTCCAGCATCGAGAATTTAAGTTCAATTGCAGCAAACGACAAATGNTTGGGCATAGTGCAGATGAGAAAATTTACCTGCATGAATGTCTTACCAAGCATAATCGCGAAGTCATGCAGTTTGGCATTGAGCTTAAAAAGCAAAAACGGCTTTCATCTGTTTTCTCTATTCGTGGCCACGTATATGTTCGAGTTCGAGCGCAGAGCAATGCAGTGAGAGTCTCCAGCATCGAGAATTTAAGTTCAATTGCAGCAAACAACAAATAAAATTTTTGAACTACATACATACATATGTTTTTACACACATTGCCACTATCTAATTATTGTTATTTTCTGTACCTTATAATCTATTCTCTCCACCCTATTTCTCTTAAAACATGTGACATTATAATGCTACTTATTTACTTGCGTTAAAAACGNATTATAATGCTACTTATTTACTTGCGTTACAAACTTATATGCCGAATGCTCTTAAGGTGCGATGTTAACTGCTACACACATGCATCTTAATAAGCACTGCTGTTCCATAGGTGATACGTTTAATATGATTAGAATTTTATCTAAACAAAAGCATGGACTCAAAATTTGTCATATCAATGCTCAAAGTTTGCCCAGGAAAATTGACGAATTCAGGTACCTTTTTGAATCCTCTGATGTTGAGGTGATTTGTGTATCGGAGACTTGGTTCTCTGATTGGCATAATAATGAGGTTGTGAATGTCAACGGCTATAATTTATTTCGGGTAGAGAGAATTTACNAAACGATCGCTCTTTGCTTTTCGCTGCTGTTTCGCGTCGCTGCAAATCAAAGAGAAGGCCCTTTCTCTTCGCGATATTGAGCATAGTGCAGATGAGAAAATATACCTGCATGAATGTCTTACCAAGCATAATCGCGAAGTCATGCAGTTTGGCATTGAGCTTAAAAAGCAAAAACGGCTTTCATCTGTTTTCTCTATTCGTGGCCACGTATATGTTCGAGTTCGAGCGCAGAGCAATGCAGTGAGAGTCTCCAGCATCGAGAATTTAAGTTCAATTGCAGCAAACAACAAATAAAATTTTTGAACTACATACATACATATGTTTTTACACACATTGCCACTATCTAATTATTGTTATTTTCTGTACCTTATAATCTATTCTCTCCACCCTATTTCTCTTAAAACATGTGACATTATAATGCTACTTATTTACTTGCGTTACAAACTTATATGCCGAATGCTCTTAAGGTGCGATGTTAACTGCTACACACATGCATCTTAATAAGCACTGCTGTTCCATAGGTGATACGTTTAATATGATTAGAATTTTATCTAAACAAAAGCATGGACTCAAAATTTGTCATATCAATGCTCAAAGTTTGCCCAGGAAAATTGAGGAATTCAGGTACCTTTTTGAATCCTCTGATGTTGATGTGATTTGTGTATCGGAGACTTGGTTCTCTGATTGGCATAATAATGAGGTTGTGTATGTCAACGGCTATAATTTATTTCGGGTAGACAGAATTGAGCGAGGTGGTGGTGTTGCCATATTTGTCAAATCAGGTATATCGTGCAAACTCAATTGCAAGTCTTTGAATCTAAGCTCTATTGAATATCTGTTTTTGGTAATAGCTACAAAATCAGACAGAATCTTATTAGTTAAACACTTACTAAACAACAAACAAAAACGTAAACTATACACAATTTATTAACTTTTTGGAAGAACTAACTTTATCGCATAGCAATATTGTCATAGAAGGTGATTTCAATTCTAATCTACTAAGTGACGATAATTTTTCGCTCNGATTTCAATTCTAATCTACTAAGTGACGATAATTTTGCGCTTGCTATGAATAATTTGGGACTTGTCTCCGTCAACTGCTCGATGCCCACACATTTTACGCGAACGAATAGCTCGCTGCTGGATCTTTTCTTTGTAAGCGATAAGACTAAAGTGCTTCTGTATGACCAGCTTTCACTTCCTGGTTTCTCAAATCATGATCTTATTTTCCTAACCTTTGATTTTGAATTTACACGCAAGAATAGTTTCTATTCTTACCGTGGCTTTGCGCATATTAATTATGACGAGCTTGGAAAAAGTGTTGACCTAATTAATTGGACATCCGTGCGATGTCTGATATCACCTAATGATCAAATTGATTTTATTCAAACCCATATTACAACCATTTTGATAAATTTGTTCCACCNCAAGAACAGTTTCTATTCTTACCGTGACTTTGCACATATTAATTATGACGAGCTTGGAAAAAGTGTTGACCTAATTAATTGGACATCCGTGCGATGTCTGATATCACCTAATGATCAAATTGATTTTATTCAAACCCATATTAGCTACCTTTTTGATAAATTTGTTCCACTTATAACGAAGTCAAACATACGTAAAAGTCGTCCATGGTTTAATGGAAATATTAAAATATTGATTAAGAAACGAAACAGTTTATATCAAAGTTAGAAATGCTATAAAACCGAAGCTCTTTATGGAAGCTACAAAATTTTGAAAAACGAGGTAATTTNCAAAGTTGGAAACGCTATAAAACCGAAGCTCTTTATGGAAGCTACAAAATTTTGAAAAGCGAGGTAACTAAAGCTATTAAGTATCAAAAAGCTAAATACTATGAACATATATTCAGCGCAGCAATAGGTTCTAAGCAAACGTGGAAAAAAATTCGCGAAATCGGGCTGGGAAATATAAATAAAAATACGCATCCGGTTGATGATGATATTAGTGTCAATGATTTAAATGAAAATTTTATAGAATCCATTGTNCGAAATCGGGCTGGGAAATATAAATAAAAATACGCATCCGGTTGATGATGATATTAGTGTCAATGATTTAAATGAAAAGTTTATAGAATCCATTGCTTCCACGGGTAAACCATGCTACGATAGCTACAGTGTTAGTCCGACCAAGTCCTTGTCAGATTTTAGCTTTGCTTGTGTTAATGAGTGTGATGTTGTCCAGTCCATACTATCCATAAAATCGAACGCTGTTGGACCTGATGGCCTAAATCACAATTTTGTTAAATGTATTCTTCCCAAAATTCTTCCCTATCTCACCTACGTGCTAAATTCAATATTAACGACTGCAATTTTTCACGATTGTTGGAAAAGGGCCAAAATAATACCTATTCGGAAACCAAATGGTGATTATAGACCCATTACGATTTTGCCCTTTCTCTCCCAAGTTCTCGAACGAATTATGCACCAACAGATAAACTCGTTTATTTCCAAAAACTCGCTTGTGAGTGCATACCAATCTGGCTTCAGGTCGAATAAAAGTTGTGTCACTGCGCTTTTAACTGTTTCAGATGATATTAGAGTTAATATGGACAATAATTACGTAACTCTTCTAACTCTTCTTGACCACTCCAAGGCTTTCGATACGGTCGATCACCAACTGCTATGTTTAAAATTAAGAAATATATTCCACTTTTCGTCTTCAGCGGTGAGCCTGGTCAACTCTTATCTTCTCGGACGGACTCAAGCAGTAAGTGTGGGTAAGGAGGAATCCAATTATTTAACCATGTCCAAAGGGGTTCCCCAAGGCTCCATACTCGGTCCATTATTATTTGTATTATACGTTGATGNTAAGAAACGAAACAGTTTATATCAAAGTTGGAAACGCTATAAAACCGAAGCTCTTTATGGAAGCTACAAAATTTTGAAAAGCGAGGTAACTAAAGCTATTAAGTATCAAAAAGCTAAATACTATGAACATATATTCAGCGCAGCAACAGGTTCTAAGCAAACCTGGCAAAGAATTCGCGAAATCGTGTTGGGAAATATAAATAAAAATACGCATCCGGTTGATGATGATATTAGTGTCAATGATTTAAATGAAAAGTTTATAGAATCCATTGCTTCCACGGGTAAACCATGCTACGATAGCTACAGTGTTAGTCCGACCAAGTCCTTGTCAGATTTTAGCTTTGCTTGTGTTAATGAGTGTGATGTTGTCCAGTCCATACTATCCATAAAATCGAACGCTGTTGGACCTGATGGCCTAAATCCCAAGTTTGTTAAATGTATCCTTCCCAAAATCCTTCCCTATCTCACCTACGTGCTAAATTCAATACTAACGACTGCAACTTTTCCCGATTGTTGGAAAAGGGCCAAAATAATACCTATTCGGAAACCAAATGGTGATTATAGACCCATTGCGATTTTGCCCTTTCTCTCCAAAGTTCTCGAACGAATTATGCACCAACAGATAAACTCGTTTATTTCCAAAAACTCGCTTGTGAGTGCATACCAATCTGGCTTCAGGTCGAATAAAAGTTGTGTCACTGCGCTTTTAACTGTTTCAGATGATATCAGAGTTAATATGGACAATAATTACGTAACTCTTCTAACTCTTCTTGACCACTCCAAGGCTTTCGATACGGTCGATCACCAACTGCTATGTTTAAAATTAAGAAATATATTCCACTTTTCGTCTTCAGCGGTGAGCCTGGTCAACTCTTATCTTCTCGGACGGACTCAAGCAGTAAGTGTGGGCAACGAGGAATCCAATTATTTAACCGTGTCCAAAGGGGTTCCCCAGGGATCCATACTCGGTCCATTATTATTTGTATTATACGTTGATGATCTCCCTAAAGTACTAAAGCACTGCAGCATTCACGTTTATGCTGATGATGTGCAATTATATGTGATCTGTCCTGTAGTGTCAATAAACTTTTGTATTCATGATTTAAACTCCGACTTAACCCGTGTTAATGAATGGGCCAGCAACAATGGCCTAGTTTTAAATTCTAAAAAATCAAAGTGCATAGCCATTTACAAAAAATACTTTAATCCNTACGTAACTCTTCTAACTCTTCTTGACCACTCCAAGGCTTTCGATACGGTCGATCACCAACTGCTATGTTTAAAATTAAGAAATATATTCCACTTTTCGTCTTCAGCGGTGAGCCTGGTCAACTCTTATCTTCTCGGACGGACTCAAGCAGTAAGTGTGGGCAACGAGGAATCCAATTATTTAACCGTGTCCAAAGGGGTTCCCCAGGGATCCATACTCGGTCCATTATTATTTGTATTATACGTTGATGATCTCCCTAAAGTACTGAAGCACTGCAACATTCATGTTTATGCTGATGATGTGCAACTATATGTGAGCTGTCCTGTAGTGTCAATAAATTTGTGTATTCATGATTTAAACTCCGACTTAACCCGTGTTAATGAATGGGCCAGCAACAATGGCCTAGTTTTAAATCCTAAAAAATCGCAGTGCATAGCCATTTACAAAAAATACTTAGATCTCTGTAATTACGATAATGTGATATTGAACGGAACAGTGATACCCTTCGTTGATTCAGCCAGAAACCTAGGTGTAACATTTAATAGAACGTTGACGTGGAATAATCACATCTACTGTGCAATTGGCAATGTGTATGGTATGCTCAGA